AGACAAGACCGAGACCAAATGCGGTCAAGTCCGAGACGAGACCGAGAGCATCAAAAAATGGTCTCGAGACCAAGACCGACCTCCAGTACTACAACACTGCTCCAAGGCTAGGCTAACTGCATGCAGTGAGGCTAAGGCTTTATCCTGCTTTCCTGCCTCCTTTTCAAAGGTCAGGATCAGATCCAGCATGGATACAGACAGCTAGGACTGATTTAAAGCACCTTATAGAAAAAGTAAAGAAGAATGAACAATCTGGGATTCACATGGAAAATAATAGAATATAGTCCATGTTTTCTAGATGTTTGTTCATTTACAAAGTTGTTCTCTAAATAAACACATTCTCATAATATAGTTTTTAAATATTACAAAAATATAAAGCTAACTAATAGCTTCTCAATTATTAAACTGGTACATTAGTTTTTAGTTTGTGACACAATATTGGACCATGAAGAACACAGATTTACCTTGAAAAAGCAACAGAAGGGCAAGAATTATGGATAAAATGTAAACCTGTACATGAAATTATGTCTAGTGTTTTTTTTTATCATGCTATCTGTTGTTATAAATATACTGGTTTGATAACTTAGTATATGTTTGATTAGTTTTTGGTATAAATCTATTTTGAAAAATCTCCACCAGCCGCCGCTGCCTAAATGTACCACTCATGTTTTTGTTAAGGGTGCACCGATTGGAGATTTTTTCCCCGATCATCGATCTGTAAAAAGACTGAGATGCAGATTCCCATTTTGACCGATTCCGATTTCTTCTCATTTCATTTGTTTTAAGATCACAAAAAAATTCAATGTTTCAATCTTAATTTGTTTAAAATAAGATAAAGTAATTATACCCTTAATGTACTCCAAAAAAACCCAAAACAATGGATAGGATCTGTTTCCCATCCAAGTATCGGCCAATTACGATCCTCAAAATCCAGGAAATCGAGGCCGATCGATTCGCCGCCCGATTGATCAGCCGGAGGATCAATCCGTGCATCCTTATTTTTATTTTATTATTTTTTTTTACATCCATTTCATCATAAAGTTGTAAAAAATGATCCTTTTTGTTTTTTTTACAGCACTTTTCAACTTCTCATAGAAAAAACATATCCATCCTTCTTTGATTTTGCTATTTTTGTTTTGCACAAAAAAAAAATTGGTTCTTTAAAATTCGTCTTTTATCCAAGAAGTAAAATAACATTTAAATGAAACTTATTAGAGTCACAAATGGGAATATTTAGATATTAATAAAAGAAAAAAAACAAACAACATCTATCAAAATCACATTTTGTAGTTTGAAGATAAGAACTTTTAGTTTGAAAAATAGTTTTGAACAATTTTTACAGCCCTAATTTACCTACATACAGTTAAAACAAGTATTTACAGTTTAATGTCTTTTTTTTTAATCAAATAAAAGGGAAGCATTGAAGGTGTTTTGGGATCTTACTGCAACTATTATGAAAAAACAAAACAAAAATAAAGATATGAATCAAAATGTTTTTGTTTTTTTCTCCAGATTCAAATCTTTTATTCTTATATATAAAAAAAAAAAATCATCCTTTTGGTTAAAAAAACGTTTTCGGACAAACTTTATGGCATCAAAGTAGCTCCATACATTTAAAACTAATATTAATTCTTTTGGGTTTTGTTTAGACCCTTTTTTCTTAATAAAATTAAACTAAAACATTGAAGTTGTTTATGATCTCATTACAACTATTAGGTAAAGAAAATCACTATTATTCTGAAAACAAGATTTTTTTTTAAAAATATTGTCTTTTCAGTTCTAATTTTTTTGCCGTTACAAAATGTTTCAATAAATGTTTGTGGCTCGACGCAATAAAAACAAAAATGTACTGTATAAACATTTTTTAAATTTTAATAAAACTTAAAACACTGAAATGATGTGATCATGAAAAAACAAAATCACATGTATGAAATCTGCAATGGCTGCAGAAACATTAATGGCACCTTAAGGGTTGTTTTCCTGCAGAAACTCAGAGCATTTATTCAATAAAAATGCTTGAAACCTGCAGGATTTCATAGAATATTTATGTTTTAAAACATTAATTGTGTTTGTTTCATTTCTAGCCAAACATAAGAGGCTCTACGGAAGGCCAACACAGCCAAAAGTTGCATGAGGAACAGACGATCTATGGGCTGTTATCAAGAGGAAGGTAAAACCAGAACCTTTGTCTGATCGCCTTCCTGCAGCTCTGCATTAATTCATGCTAAAGAAGCCTAACCCAGAGTACTGAGTATACGTACTGTGTGGTACCAGGAAGTACTCTCAAGTAGGCCCATGTTTCCAAATTTAAAAAAGGAAACAAGCAGAGAAATGTAGCTCATAACCAAACATCCCCCCCAGTGACTCACATTACACCTCCCGAAGCGACTGTAGCGGCGGCCGCTCTCCGTCACATTGTAGATGTAGATGAAGTTGTCATGAGAGCCGACGGCTAAAAAGCGACCATCTGAAGAGACAAGAAGCCATTTATTCCAACCTTTTCCTCTGCATCTACGACACCAACAACCGTTCTTAGACTCTAAACGCAGAACTAAACTAAAACACCTGAACAGGTCGCACTATTTCACAGGTCAAGGATTTTTACCTTCTAATTTGTTTTGACTGAACAGGGATTTATAAAAACTCCTGTTAAGGTTTTTATCTGTACTGTTAGTTTAAGATGAACATG